CTCTCTCTCTCTCTCTCTCTCTCTCTCTCTCTCTCTCTCTCTCTCTCTCTTATTGTTGTTGTTATTATTGTTCTTCTTCTTCTTCTTCTTCTTCTTCTTATTATTATTATAAGGCAGTATTTTCATTCTTATTACCATTGTCACTATTCGTCATCATCACCATTATTGTTATTTCTGTTTCTGAAATTTACAGACTGATATACCTTCGAGTCACAGGAATGGATGATGGGTTAAACATCAAGGAGAGAATTTGTTATGTAAGTCGTAACTATATATTTAAATCCTTTTGTATTGTGGCCCAATTGGTTATTCATGCCTCATAAATCATGAATTTGTTACAACTTGTTTATTCATGCCTCATAAATCATGGATATGCTCTGTGTGTGTTGCATTTCTGTCTTGAAACTAATCTCATTTTGTGATTAATGACATGAGTTTTTTGTGTTCTTTGAATATCCCTCTTCCTTTTGTTTTTTGAAGAACAATGAATGTCTTTATCCTGTTATTGCCAATAACTTTCTTTTTTTGTATGTCAACTGTAGTTGAGTTCTATGATGGACATGGGAAGTGATATCCAAGTTCGTACCAGTGGAGGTCTTCTTGCCATATTAGAGAATGAAAGGGTGGTAGATACACTTGAACAAATGGAAAGCGGGAATGCATCAATTGCAATCGATTCTGTTATAGAAGTTTCACTGTATCTTTTTGTGCTGTCTTCAACATTTAGATTTTTTTTGGGGGTGGGGGATGGGGGTTAATAATTCAGGAAGGTTATCGAGACAAAATGTACTCCCTTCACAACCAAAATAGAAACAATTTCCTTAAACTTGATGCAGCAGCTCATGAGGCATTGCAGATATTCCAAACAGATAAGCATCCAAGCCATATGGGCATTGGTAGAGCAAAAGAAGGGTAAATTCTTAATTTTTTGCCAAATAATTTTCCTTCAAAGTGTTCTGATATGTTTTAATGGCAGGGTCTCTGTATTTTGCATGATGAATAAGGGCAGTAGATTTTTCAATTCTTTTTCTTTTGGTTTAAGTGTTCTGATATGTTTTAATGGCAGGTTCTCTGTATTTGGCATGATGAATAAGGTCAGTAGATTTTTCAATTCTTTCTCTTTTGGTTTGCTCAGCTTTATGTCAAGCTAATTTACTCGTACTTAAATTCAGTGTGTAACGCCCATGGGGAGACGTCTCTTGAGGTAACATTCTGGTAGATAACTTTGTGATGCCACTGCTTTGGATGTTAACTCTAACCCAAAGGCACTTTGACGAATGGTATTTTTCTCATACTAGAAGCTGGTTCTTAAGGCCAATACTTGACCTTGAAACTTTGAACTGTCGTCTCAATGCCGTATCCTTGCTTGTTAAACTACATAAGTACTACTAAAATATGACTTGTATCAGTTATCCAAAGAAGATTTATGCTATCTTGAATCGTCTTAGTTAAACCGTTTTGCAAACTGAGATCAGAACATTAAGAATAAATATTATCTCACTGCGTTTGAATGAACTTATTTGAAAATATAGAATTGACTTCTTAAAATCATGAGATTTTAGATCTACTTGGTCATTGTCAAAGCTATTTTCTTTGACAATTCAGATATCATTCTTTCTTTCTTCTGAAGAACTGATAAATTCTTTACGTGGAACTCTGAAATCTGTGAAGGACATTCCTCACATACTCAAGGTAGCATTCTCTATTCTTCCTTCTTTTCCTTCTGTCTCATTCTGTAGGGCTTTCTTTTCCAAAAGTAAAGGTTATGGTCTGTAGATTCTGTAGCTACAACTGGAGTCTGTTGTTGAAATTAGAGCTCTTTCATGGACAACTAAAGTATATTAGTTGTTCTTTTTTTGCTCAATTAGTTTATTACTGACTTGTTTCTAAACATAGTATTTGGCCTTTATACAAATATTGACATCATAATGATAATTTGATCTGCTCTCTTTGTTATCCTTCTACCAAGAGTGACTGTAGATCACGACGATGTCTGTTTTGCACGTGTTGTATTTATTTTTTAAGATTTTGAATCTTTTCTTTTGTTTGTTGAAGAAATTTAACTCCCCGAGCTCAATATGTACCAGTGGCGATTGGACAGCTTTTTTGAAGGTAGGTTCTTTTCTATGTGCTATACTTTAACCCTGTTTCCTGATTACTAAATGTCTGTCATTCATTTAGCGGATGGTGTCCTTTATTGATGTTACTTTGATTCATTTTTACCTCTGGATGTGTGATTGTACGTAGAACTTAGTTAAAACTTAAAATATGTACAAACATTAATGTCATGGTCACTTTTTATACCATAATTCTCTTTGTTGATTAGTTTCCTTCTTGGCACTTGTGTGTGCAACACCTGCAACCAATCATGTCTGACTCCTAGCTAGACAATTACCAAGATCTTTATGAAGAATAAAATGAGTTACGCATTTTTGTTCAGGGAACTTGCCATAATATCATGTCAACTTTAACTATCATATTACCTGGATTCCAAGACCATGTATAGAATCATAAGCTCCTTCTCCATTATTAACAGACTTGTAAGGTGATAGAGCAGAAATCCTTGTTTTGCCTTTGCTGGGATGATTTTTTCAAATTAACAGCTACAGTACAACCTGCGTTGCCTTTGTGGGAAGATAAATCTTGTACATTACTTTTAGAATTAGATTCTCAGCTAATCTTTAGTTGTCTTTTTCTGTGTCTTTGTATCTCAATTTTTGTTTGGGGGTCGGGGTGGGGAGGATTGGAGTAAATTCAATGTAATTTGTTTTGTTTGCTTTGGGTGCTTGTCCCACCTACTTGCAGAAATTTGTCTCTTATATAAAAATTTCTAGTTGAGTCCCAGCAGAATATTCATAAAGAGTGATGATACTATTGTCATTTTTCCTTGACTTTGCACAATTGTCAGTGAAAGCTTTCCTCGTTTGATTCATTATTTTTTATATTGTTTTCTTGTAGAGTGTTTGTTCACTCTTGCATGTGAACAAGATATTTGAAGTAGGTGTTTCTGAGAGTCTTCAGGAGCACGCAAAGTACTTGAATTTGGACATTGTTGAGAAGGTATGAAAACACTTCTTTTGATGCATTTTCTGTTAGTTGTACCTTCTCTTTCTGTTATTCTTATATACTAATGTGTTTCTTGGTCTGTTGTCTGAATTTATGCAGGCTGCTTCATGCATTACAACTGAACTGGCTTATGTATATGAATTGGTTAGTTTATGAAGTAGCCTTCAACTTTTTACAGCCTGTTCTTGCAATAACAAACAGAAATTTGTTAAGTGTTAATCCCATAAGAGGAAGAGATTGCTCTTTGATAGAATGAAACCATGTCAATAAACTCTACAGTCCACAATAACATGGTAAAACAACTCCAGAGATAAATTCATTTGACTCTTCCCTTATGAATTGGGACTGGTCTCTGAACTTTTTATTCAGTTCTCCACAAATCTTTTGTGTCATGGGTTGGTGAGGATATGTATCATTTCTGGCGTAGCCTACTGGTGTTATGGAATTGATTTTAATTTCCTCTTATGCCTGGGTTTATCTGCATTGAGATCTTTATGATTGGAGAATGAAGAATTTTTTGTCTTTGTTTAGATATACATCAAGTCAATATAAACAGTGTTTATTTCTTCTTTTGTCATTCTTCTAAATTTTTTCCCTTCAATGCGTTCCTATCATAATATTGCCAATGTCTTCTGCAGGTAATTGGTGTTCTAGATGTAAGTAGAAGTAAGGAGAAGGGATATGAGACAATTGTAAAAGATGATTTCTGTGATGAGGTTTGGCATAAGTCCCAAATTCCCATTCTTAATTGTCGAATCAGAATGCATATTTGTCTTGTGCATCATCTCATCATTGTTGTTATTGTTGTTTTTAATTTTCTTTTTTACATTTTGTTTATGAGCCTAGTGTGGTGTGGCGTTTCTGTTAGTTCAATATTGAGATGGCAGAATTTATTCTGTGACTTTTATGCATCTTGATAGATCTGTACAGCTGCCTATTGTCTGAATTTAAGTTATTTCTAATGTTAAATTGACAAATCATTCCCGCATCTTCTTGTATAGTTAGATGAGCTAAGGCAAATATATGAGGAATTGCCGGAATTTCTGGAAGAGGTAACTGTTATGCAATTCATTTATACAGCTAATTAGAAAGTAGATTGAAGTCTGATTTACCAAGTTTCTTTTGATTGTACATTGCCTTGCAGGTGTCACAGATGGAACTTGGAAGACTGCCTCAGCTGTACAAAGAAAAGTTTGATCCTTGT